TATAGATTAATTTGGTATAAATATCTCATTTTTGAATCTGAGGGTCGAAACCCACTTTTTCCTAGAACAGCCCCCATTTGATCTGCAATTCCTTTTCTTGTTTTGCCAGGTGTAAGCACTGATTATGAATCCACAATAGGGGTGGTTATGCTCAAAGAATTCTAATTTATAATGTTAAATACGTCAGGTAAACTAGCCAATTGTAATAACGCATGACGAAATTTTTGACTTTAGTCATTGACGTAACTAAAGTATTTGACTAAAGGTAGTTTCTCACCGAAGCCATTTTGACGATTTGGCTAAAGTAAAAACCCTTGACGTAAGTAAATACCCTTGAAAGGCTACTTAATTGGATTGTATAAAACTAATTATATTATCATAAAACAACTTATTAAAGAATTTTCTTTCAAAATAATAGATGTTGGAATCGACTAAAATAGTTGACTAAACTTTTTTTTGAACAACTAATATTCGACTATTTTAATTGATTATTTTGTCAACTAAAATAGTCAATTATTTAGTTGAATATTTTAGTTGACTAACTATTCGATTACTAATACTACTAATACTAATACTATGCTAATATTATTATTGTTTGACCAATTACGATTTTTGTGTTTTATCATTCAAAATGGAAAATTTCTATGCGGAAGAGTATCAATACCATCAATATGATGATGACGACAACAGTAGTGGTGTTGCTGATGATAATTTTACATGCGAATGAATAACACTTCCAATAAAAGGCCCAATAGTTCATTGGCTTTAAGTTTCAATGATTTAAGCGGTGATTCCAGAAGACCTTTATAAAAACGAATCGTAACACATGGTTTTGTGTGGAAGCATTTTGAAAAAGTGAAAGATTCAAATGGAAATTTGCAAATTAAAAAAAAAAAACGAAATATTATTATTATAAAAAAAAAATTTAGTTCATCTGACTTACTGAAAAATAACCTCTTTACTAATAGTTAAAAAAAGGATGGCTGTTCACTATAATGAAGAACGAGATCAGCTTTCGTCCTTCTTTTCAAGTTCCATCGGCAATATTCTTCTGGTTAGGATTCATCAAGGTTAATGTAGGAGTATTCCCATACTTCTTTATTCGATTTAAAACATGAGGAGTAGAGAAAATAATTTCTGTTTTGCCTCAAAATTTATTCAAGTAATCGGAAAAAGATATGTTCTTTCCCTCGACTCCAAAGAACAATGGCTTTGGTGGCTCTAAATAATCATCTCGATCGTCAATTTACGTCCTTTTGTTGGTTGATTTGATTGATTAGGCAGTAAAGACAGTTGAATTGATGTTGTTATCTGTTATATATATATTTTTTTTTGTTAATAATAATAATATTATAATTAATCTCTAAAAAAACCTGAAATGTTAACCAATTTTGAAAGAAAGTAGTTATTGTAATTAATCCCAAAAATAAATAAATAAATAAATAGATGAAAATTATTTCCAAGTTGTAGAATTACTTGATCATTCTCAAACGCAAAAATAATAAAATGAATAATGTTAAATCTAATTGACGTTACATAAGTTTAATAGAATATTATTTATTATTATTTAATAGTAATGATAACCATGTAAACGAAAGATATCTTAAAATGACCTTATGGAGTTGTGTTAATTTGATTTTTTTTTTCGATTTTGATTTAGAAGTTAATGCGATAATATTATTAATAAAATAAAAATGCGCTTAAATTGTCTGAGTTTGAAACAACATACAGTCAAACCTCGTCATAGCAGAACTCGTCATAGCGGATTTCTTGTTACAACAGATTTAAATATTGGCCTTTTTTTATTAATATTAATATTAATTAAAATGTTTGTCATAACGCATTTTTGATGTGGGTCATCTGCCAAGTATCCGGCCGGATACTTTTCAAATAGATTATTTTTAATCAAAGATCAGTCAGCATTAAAATAAGCAACAAAACAAACAATTTATCCAAAGATTCACAAGCAACAAATTTTCTAAAATAAACAAACAATTGATAGATTATTTGCCGAAATGTTTTCGAGTAGCAACCTTTTCCAAAGTTTCTACAATAAATCAATAAACCAACAATTGATAGATTGCTTATCCGCAAGTAACAAAGGTTTCCAAGCTTCTAAATTTGATAGATTATTTATCCAGATGTGCGCGAATAACAAAAATTTCCAAGTTTCTAAAATAAATCAATTGATATATTTCCAAAAATTCGTAATAAAGCCAATTAGATCATAAAGAATTTAAAACATTGAAATCATTGAAAAGAAAAGTGAAATCATTAGACGATGAACGACTAAATATTACAACAAATAATTCATTTATTCATTTATTTCTTTATTTAGTTTATTAATTTATTATTATTACATGATAATGATCTTAAGTTATATATATAAATTAAAAATTTAAACAAAACCAAAAAATCTTAAATTTATAAAATTCACCATTTTGAAATAAAAGATGACCGTTCCGACTTCCGACTTCCTTTTTTTGGATATTATTATTAAAGATCTTTTATTAATTCATGTATTGTAATAATATACCAAACCCGCAATGCAATAATCATACTTGCCTTGAGAGATATGCGCGTATTACTACTAGCCATGATTCCTTCATCATCATTATTATTTTTTTAATTCTGGTATAACAAACAATTGCATCACCCATGTTTTCTAATAACAAGGACCGTGCTAACATAGAAAAGGTAATTTTATCACTCCCGTAATAGGGCAGTAAATTTAAAAAATTTTATAATTCTGATATTTACCATAGGGTGTCAGAATTACTTAAAAATGTCTGACTGATACTACACCGAGGTCACGGGCCCCTCACCTGTAGATAAGGTTTCGCTCGAGCTCTTCTCTTTGATGTCAAATACTACACTTACCTAATCAAAGAGGCTCGGATGAAAGGCAAACAGGAGCAAAGTCCCCGTCATACCAGCGCTTCTTCCTTCCACATACCCTCCAGGACACATAGTGGCGAGGGTTAACCTTTTTTTTCAGATGGGACGACAGAATCTGTAGCCCTACATGCACTCCGTATGTTTTTTTGTTGTTAACGCCTTTGACGCCTTTGTCGTCGTCGTCGTCGTCGTCTTTGTTGTCGTCTTCGTCGTCGGTTGTTATCCAGGTAAGAAAAACAAAATAATTCAAATGAATCATAAAATAATGAATTCATTAGAAAAAAATTGTTTTCCTTTTTTTAAAAAAAAAACCCCCCCCCCCAAATAAACAATATATATACGATAAGGTTATGAAAAACAATCTATTATTTTTTAGGATGGAACGTAAACGAACAAAATTTAATATTAATATTATTAATATTATTTACATATTTTTTTTGCCCTTCCATAAATGGGTTTTTAATATGATGATTCTTTTACATAAACACGGACAGAAATTCCTTTTTGATTTGCCAATTTAATTTTCACATACAAAATCGTCACTATGATATTAGCGACCACATGGATTAGGCGTTACTGTACATATATTAATATTATTATATAGTCATCATTACATCCTTTCCAATTGACCTATGTCAACATAATAGTTTTTAATATAGAACAGCCTGAATATTTTACAAAGACTTTGTAGATTATTTCTTAAAAATTGGACACGTACTATTGATAATGTAGTAGGCATGGTATACCACAACAATTATAGTAAAGACTTGGTTCCATTATAAAGAAAAATCTCTTTGTAGCGAACTTATTATAAATAAATTGAAAAGTCCCTTACAACGAGATGAAGTTCATAGTAACCAAGTCTAAACTATCTGATAACCATATACTGTTTCCACTTCTTTCTCTTCATCAGAACTGTCAACCTCAGGATTTGACCCCACTTCTCTAACGATTTCTTCATCAGTTAGTTCTTTGTACTGGTACTTCATCACTAAATAAAACGTTCTGCAGCGATTGGATCTTGCAGATAAATTTGTAAATTAATCAAGGTTATTTTGACACCACTAAAAAAGAGGACGATGTTTAAACTAATTGATTGTAAAAAGGATACTTTTCCGAGGGCCAGAGCAATATATATAGTAATAGGTAACTCGTGGGTTTGTTTAAGATTAGAAAATGAATTGGCTCATCAAGTAAATTGGATTGATTATTATTATGTTAGGTAAAAATACTTTGAAATTTGATCATTTTTATCATATTATTCATGCTAAGGAAATTGCTTGCATTTGTGGTAAAACAATAAAGTATAATAGATGCTGCGATGAAGTTTACTTAAATCATCATGCAAAGGGTACTGGATGTAAAGGCGAAGAGCAATTTTCAATTTTACAAACCTGCTCAAACTGAAAATACGAAGTTCAGAAGAAGAATTTGTATATGATAGATAATATGAATGATGATGACTTGCTTCGAGTAGATAAAATAAACGAAAATAATGATATTACTTTAATAAAAACGTCAATTGTGCAATATGGCAACAAATGAACTGATTGAAACTATTAACAAGATTTTACCAGGGAGCGCAAACATATTTTCATCAATGTTGACAGTTTTGTGAGGTAATATCAATCCTTGGGTTTTGTGCACAGTAAGAGCGAAGGCATTGTGAAGAGGAAATTGTTGCATTGATGCAGGGCTTCCATTGATATTAAAGTAAATGGTTTCTTTTTGCACAATCATCTTTGTGATGTTGCGGGTTGTCAGAAAGGTAACTTCAACATTTTGAGGATCAGTCATTTTGATTATTGTCCCACTGCAAATTACATGATAAATCAACTTGTTGTTGAGGAACATCACTTTTGCACCTTCTTGAAGAATGACATGCTTGGGGAGGTTTATATAACGATTAAAGTGAAAATCTTCACTTTGATTCTGATTGAGGATGTTGAGGTAATTTTTTTTACAAACCAGTTAGTTAAATTAACTCTTTTAAGTTCGACCTTGCATTCTATTTAGATTCGGTAAAAGTACTACCACCATATCAAACACGAAATCAGTATCCTTTGATTACTAAAACTTCATCTAATGGTGTTAATTGCATTCTTTAGTTTACGAAATACTCGAACGTCACCTTCAAAGAGGATTTGTTACTTCTAGGAAACCATTACAAACATTTTTTGCAATTACGTATATTGTGATCACACTAACTATACTAATTTGAATAATTGTAGTGTATATACTCACGTGTGGAGATGGTTATCACAATCATTGTCTACAAAGATGCCAATCTAAATGTTTGATATCTTGGACTATCATCAAGTCGAAATCAAAAAAATGTCAACGCACTAAAAGAAAAGTATGACAAAAAGATTAAACAAAAATGAGTTTATCGAAAATATCAAAAATGCAGTTGGTTATGATCTGGGTAACATTTAATCAGCAATAGATGATGCAGCAGCAACAATGGAAATTTTATTAGGACATGCAAAAAAAATTTTTTGGGTTGTAAATTTTGTTTTTATTAAATATATTTGTTTGATTATTTCATACATCGTTCACATTTTATCTTAATCGTATATCTTAAATATTGGTTGTGTTTACAATCATTTTGCCGACATTCATTATATTAAGGTTATTTTGATTACATCAAGAGATATGGTCAAGAGAAGAGTTAGGAAAAGAGTTATTCTTCAATCAAGTCGAAAACCAACCCTTTAAATACATTTTCGAGTAGTACAATTTAATTTATTAGACTATTTCAAATGGTTGCTTCCAACTTCTTAAATTCGATCCATTTGTTAATTAAATTTATTCAACAATTTATCCGAACTTTATCCATTTATTAATATTAATCAATTTGTTCAGTAAATGCTCAGTCATTTATCCGAGCTTTATCCATTTTATTAAAAAAACACGGAAATGGAAAAACACTAACCTCGGAGTAAATTTTTACAGGGCTATGAATCAGTGAAATGTCGATTCCCTTTAACTATTAAAAAACGGAGGAAATTATCTTACTACAAAAACATCCTCTACATCTCCATCACATGATAAAATTTTAAATAAATTTTTTTGGAAATATTTATTTTCTATTTCATTTTTGTTTGTCTTTGAAAAAGATCTAATTACGCCTTTTCTCACATAAAGCACTTATGTCATCATTTTGTTTTTTTTAAAGTTTGAAGTTTTAAAAATAGTTTCGGAGTTCGAAATAATTTTATTGGAATAAAAGCTCAATCATTTGATGTAATACAGAAACTCCGATTAAAAATAATTATACGCTCGTTTTTGTTGTTATTTTTAATAAGTTACATAAACGTAAAAAAC